GCGACGTAAAATCCCCTAAGCGGATATCAACGTCAGATGGGGTTATAACGAAGTGGCCTATGAAACGGCCCGCGAGTGGTGACGATCGAATGCGTGCTCGTGTGAGTATCGCGGATGTTCGATTTCCGGCGTGTAGTTCTGTAAAATGGCAGTCATGCCCAGTGTAACACTCCAAAACAGTCGCAGCAGAGGTGTCGGACAAGGCGGGGTGTGCACGTGACGATCGATCGGAGCTTGGCAGATTTTGACGTAGTTGGCGGTACAGTTTTTGCTCCGCTGGAGCAGGTTAAGAAGTCAGGAAGTCAGTAGCACATGGGTCACGATAACAAACGGCTGTTTTTGCCCCCAAAGACCTTGAAATGCAGTGTGTGTAAGCATACTGCTCTTCCCCCCACACCTCAGAAGAAGAGGTGTAGCTGTCTAGACGGTAGAGTCCCAGAAACCTGGCCAGGGAGAGGGTGACGTGTCCAGCGTGTTTGTAACGTCCTGCCACACGTCCAAATGAAACCTGGATAGAAACCAGCAATGAAGTTGTGACACGTTTCCAGGGGTGTAAGTTGTAGGACACAGGCAGACAAGGCTTGTTTCGGTAAATTCGATATCTTTTATTAGACCAACTCAAATAGACGGGAAAATTCTTCTTTGCAAGCTTTTGGGAAGCATCGTTTCCTCAGTGTTTGTATCCAAAAGCTTGTAAAGAAGAATTTTTCCAACTATTTGAGTTGGTCTAATAAAAGATATCGGGTTTACCCAAAGAGCTTGTGCACATTTTCAAGCACTAGGTTTTGTAGCTGGTTGCCTATCTTTATAGCTGGACAGCCATTTTTATGGCTTGATAATCACTGTGCATGTGAAACCGGTCTACACTTATTGCGCAGTGAACCAGGTAATTGTGTAATATATGTCACAGGCAGCAGAGGCCCAAGAGGCAGATTTCAATTGCCTTCATCCCTGCTGAGCCAGAGTTTAACATGTTGCTTAATAGGTTACTATGATGTTTAATGTGGATCATTTGGAAGGAGGTGAGGTGGGAGAAACGGTCCCAGGTCTGAGCTGTGCATCCAAGATCGCTAGGGGCTCAAGCTCACCGTCTGCAGGCGTCCCGCATGTGAGACTGCATACAAGAATTCCTGTCGGGAGAAACTGAGGTCGCCTGATGTGACCGGACTTACCGGCCTTGTGCCAAGAAGACATCCAGAGCATGCAGGGGTGCACTAAGTGGTACAGCAGCTGAGCTGCTGCCCGAGGGGTAAATGTATGAGGGAGGATTGCAGTGAAACCCAGCAGTGACTCTTTGGCCCTGACTGCTGTTGGCTGGTTTCAGCCCTCCATGCTCTCTGGGGTGGGTCAAAGAATCGTAGAAAAGTAGGGCTGGAAGGGAGCTCCCATCCAATCCCCTGCCATCAGCTGCAGGAACTGAACTGACCTGCCATCCCTGTTCCTCGGGGCTAATAAAAAATCCCAGGGTCCGAGGGGTTTAGCCAGCTTGTGTTGCAAAGCACTTGGGATTTGCTTGGAAGGCGCTAAATCACTGCAGAGCAAATCCTCTCCTTGCTGGCTTCTTTGTCAGTGCTGCATGCTGGTCTTCGGCTTCACAATTCTTCCTGTAACGAGCAAATTTGGTGATGTATAATCACTGCGATGTATAAATCAACTGAACAGGAAGAGGCTGGTGACTGTCAGAGAGGGGAGAGAGAAGAAAATAAGGAACAGCTAGTGTGGAGCATGGCATTTTAAGGCATACCACTGGGTGTCAGCATCCGTCTAAAATTGAGTGGATCGGTGTGTTTTATAAACCTCTCAGATGTTACAAGGTGGAGCTGTGGATTTGCGGCCCTGGCGAGCTCAGACGAAGAGATCTTGACCTCTGGGTGAGGGTGGCCCAGCTGCGTTTCATGCTTCTGTTGCTCTGTCTTTCTTTTCTGTCAAAATTGTCACGGTCTGTTCTTATTGCAAGAAAAGCAGGTTGGGATTTCAGTGTTTCCCTCGCGATGTTGGTTTCGGAGGCCTCTGCTCCACATTACATAAAATTCTGCAATGAACTGGTGAATTGCGCAATAAATGTAGACCGGCCCCATGTGCAAAGTAATTATCACGCTATAAAAATGGCCGTCCAGCTACAAAATAGCCACCTAGCTACAGTGTGTGTGCTTGAAAACATATCCAGGTTTAGTTTGAATATGTAGCAAGGCAACCTCAGCCTGCGCAGAGGGGAAGGAAGTTTGTGACGGCTCCTGTTTCATCATGTTGTCTCATGTTGTCGTTAATAATTTTGTGCTGGGGGGAGATGGTTCTTGGCTTGGTGCACGCCAGCCAAATTGTGATGTAGTTGCTGCCTGCGGTGTTTCTGGCGCAGCTTATAGTAGGCAGACATGACTTGCTGCAGGGCTGTCCAGCTTCTGTGTGTCCAGGAGCTGTGTGGGCTGTGGTCTCCTTGCCCCAGGCCACACACAGTATGGGCCCTTCCCCATGCGTGTCAGCGGTTGGACAGCCCTGGGGGCTACAGAGCAGTGTTGAAGGCATTGTAGAATCATAGAAAATTCAGGTGGGAAAGGACCTCCAGAGGTCACATCCAGTCCAGCCCCCTGCTCCAAGCAGGACCAGCCCCAACTAGATCATCCCAGCCAGGGCTTTGTCTAGCAGGGTCTTACACCTCCAAGGATGGTTAAGGGCTTGCAGGCCAATTCCTACGAGGAGAGACTGGGGCACCTGGACCTCTTCAGCCCCCGCAAGAGAAGGTTGAGAGGTGACCTTGTGGCTGCCTATAAGTTCATCACGGGGGCACAGAAGGGAATTGGTGAGGATTTATTCACCAAGGAGCCCCCGGGGGTTACAAGAAATAATGGCCACAAGCTAGCAGAGAGCAGATTTAGACTGGACATTAGGAAGAACTTCTTCACAGTTCGAGTGGCCAAGGCCTGGAACGGGCTCCCAAGGGAGGGGGTGCTCTCCCCTACCCTGGGGGTCTTCAAGAGGAGGTTAGATATGCATCTAGCTGGGGTCAGCTAGACCCAGCCCTCTTTCCTGCCTATGCAGGGGGTCGGACTCGATGATCTATTGAGGTCCCTTCTGACCCTAGCATCTATGAATCTATGGATGGAGACTCCACCACCTCTCTGGGGAGCCTGTCCCAGCGCTTCACCACCCTCCTGGTGAGACAGTTTTTCCTAATATCCAACCTCAACTTCCCTTGCTGCAGCCTGAGCCCATTGCTCCTTGTCCTGTCATCTGCCCCCACTGAGAACAGCCCAGCTCCATCCTCTTTGCAGCCCCCCTGCAGGGAGCTGAAGGCTGCCATTCAATCCCCCTCAGTCTCCTCTTCTGCAGACTCAATCAGCCCAGTCCCCTCAGCCTCTCCTCACCGGTCCTGTCTGCCAGCCCCCCAACTATTTTTGTTGTCCTCTGCTGGACCCTCTCCAGTGTGTCCGCATCCTTTCTGCAGTGGGAGGGGGGGAGGGCAGGGGGAAATTGGACACAGGACTCCAGATGTGGCCTCCCTGGTGCTGAACAGAGGGGAAGAATCACTGCCCTGGATCTGCCGGCGACGCTCT